GATACCTCAACCCACTCCGCGTAAATACTCCACGGTCCTCAACGGAACCACCAAAATCCTCCGTGATGACTAACTCACCAACCGGCACCAATGCCACAACTCCACCTACCTCGTCCGTGCACTAACCTGCTCTAGCCCTACTGACTATGGGTATGAGCAACCTAACATGTCATCACCGCAAGAAGACTCTCATGGTCCACTGGTCATCACTCCAGTCTCACCATAAGAGAAACAAAGATAGGCGCCGGTGATCAAATCCATCCGCACTATCGACAGCACACTGGAGTAAAACTACTCCGGAAATCAGCGTTAACCCAGACATGGGCACACATCAAGAAGCCAGACTGGAGAGGATCCAAACACAAGCAAACAACTAGCAACGACTCTCTAGCCGAAATGAAACACATCACATAACAACACAACACACGGGACATTGCCTCGCATCGCGACCCCGAGTTGAATTCCATCGCCTCCTATCATCCTCCGCCTCCAGCACCTGCAACGCCATCTCGTTCATCCCGTTGCAAAAAGGGAATCCACGTCGAGCTGATCCGTACTTCGCCTCATATCTCCACTTTTTACTATAAATAGAGGCAAGGAATGTAACAAGCGTTCATCTACTCTAATCGTTCCCATAAGAAAAGAGATAGGGATAAAGTATGTGCTTCCACCACTTCAACCAACACATACACTAATCACTAAAAACTCTAATATAATGTTGATCACGTCATATATATAGGAGTACAATGTTTTCGCAATCAAAAAACCATAGTAAGTGAGACGAGTGCAAATTCTCAGTCTCTTCAGAATACTACTCTTCTCTCTTCTTTTATATATATATATATATATCATTAATGTTTTTTTTTTAAGATAAGAATGAGAATAATTCTTATACAAGAAAGCCTACATTATACGCTGTCCCAAAAACTGTGCACAACGGTTGACCTCACTTCTCAAGTTCCTATCTGGACTCCAAACCTGTTTTATTCTTGCTCAAGAACAAACCACGGTTTTTCCACGGCAACCTCTTCCGTCTCAAATATTAGTGTTGCAGTACACTCATGTTTTTTTTTTTTCTGCGAGAGTACAGAAACAACTTCGCTTCGCTCCCACCACCTTTTAGTTCGCTGTGCGATAAATTTCAAATGGACAATGAAGTGCCTTGTCAGCGTGCGTTTCCTTACAATCCTAATATTTCCTTGTCTTCATAACTAGACTCAAAAGTTCATTGGCTCTTCCCTGATCTTCCTCAGTTGACGGTGCGGGCATGCAGCACGAAGCCATGGTCAAACAAAGGCCACTTGTATTTCCAATCAGCGGGTATCTTGGGTATACATAGGCATGTGAAGCTGCTTCTTCAAATCACGAGAATATACCTCTCAAATCATAACTGTGAAATCCGCTGTCGGCTGTCAAAACCATGCAAAACCATCTTCACTTCATGCCTACGACCCAGCTTAGGCTCAAGCATTGATGCTGCATTGTTCCACAACAAAACAAGGTCTCATCTAGAAGATGATACGTGTTGAGTAAAGTACACCCTGAAAACTCGAGGAGATCAGATGACTGCTACTAAAACAGATTTCTGAATATTTGAGAGTTGATATTCCGGTGTAAAAGTAACTCCTTGCTACACCAATCCCAGGAAGCCAAGGGCTAAACATGACTTGTGTCACTAACACTGAAAAGCATTACTTTTGGTGAAGATGGTGGCCTCCAACTCGGAAGAGTTCAGGCTCAGCTATAGATAATATTTGAAAATCTCAGCCTCCATGTTTGAGCTGCAGAAATTTCAGCTTCTGATTGGTGGTGAACTTTGTCACTGTATAAACCTTTGCTTTCGTATATATCTCGTCGGCGGATCAAACAAGCATTGGACCAGCTTAGTCTATGATCCCAGGCATCGAATGAAGGCACACCGGGGCACCTTGGGCAAGTAGAGTTGGTGCTCGTGGTTCGCACCCGCACCTTAAAGACTGAGGTCGATCATCAACAGTAAATCTACCAGCAAGATACGATCTTCACCACCATTTATTAACTTCACTTTGCGGGATATTCACTCCTTCCTCAGCTCATTCACACCTTCGGGTTTGACTGATCGATACACGGTTCAACCGAACCTGCGAATGTGGCAACATCCTTCGCAAGCTTTTCCTGCTTGCTATTCACTGTCTTCCACGCTCAGCGGTAATGCAAGAACACCTAGTGTCTAGACTGTCAAGAGGACTTGCAAATAGCAGGATGGGTTCTCAGAATGGACTGTGCTACACCGCCATTGATATGATGCGTTTCTGGACACCATGACGTCGAAGGCGATGGAGAGGAGAACAAGATGAGTGCCAAGAATCTCTTCGCTGTGCAGAGTCTGTCACCTTTGAAGACAACGATGTGGGTGCTCCTTCTGCTGCTGCGTTGTCAGAGCAAAACAAGACAAAATCCTCCGCGTGCTCAAGATCCTCCTTTTTTGAAGGCGAACCCCAACATTAAATTGCAGGCTCTGTTAGTGATGTCGCCACTTTCTCATCTCGTCCCCTCCCCATGCTTGTCGAACTCCCCCTCATCTTGTCAGCTCCGTCACGCCATTCCGAACCTCGGGTCTGTCCAAATGCTGAGCAGAAAATTCGGAAAATTCTAAAATGCTATGCTCTCCAGCAAAAACTCCAAACACTGTCACGAAAACTCTCTAAACACGAATACGTGAGATACGCAGTTCTTCGAGTAAAAATGTCAAAACGCAAATACACAGAGAGTCGAGCTAAACTCACTACCCTGAGGAAGAATAAGAGTACTCCTGCGTGTAAGGCTCAACTCGAAGAACTGACAGTTTTTGAGTTCGCCTCGAATATATGCTACGCGAAACGCCAACCCAATCCAACGCTCCTGGATAGTCTGCCGCGGCCCAACGTGTCTCCGACTCAAACTCAAATCTAACCTGTCTGAACTCAAATTGACACCAACGTCAATACACATGACAACGGCCTTCAAAACACATGGATGATGAAGCTGACAAATGGTATGGCATGGCATAGTATGGCGAAAGGAGGAAAAAGCCAAGGCCAGGAAACGCGAGAAATTTGCTTCATGGGACCCCATCATAACCCTGACTACTTGATGGGACCCAATAAGTTCCATTTTACCCTATGGGACCCCTCCGACGGGTCACCGTCAATTATGTTCTTGTAACTGATTTGTTTCCACTTCAATGAAATAAAATAATTTTTTCCCGAATTTAAGTTATCAGATTTTCCATGGCTCCCAATCTTCATAGTGGAAGAGTCCAATTTCTCACGTCCCATAATGATTTTATAGTTATATATATAGGCATAATCTACTCACTCCTTACTTTTTTTTTCCTAAAACTCTTGGTCGAAATCATGTAAGTTGCTTATTTGGTCCGTGAAGTGCATTTCACTTTTCAACAAAGAGCCTCAGTGCTTTTCCTAACCCGGATTGAAAGGAATTACAAGAACTCGCAGTAGAACATCGGTGACGGTGGACTGAATTGCCGTCGGAAGGGTCCTATCGGGTAAATTCCTGTACTCGCAAGTTCTGGTTGAAATGCGAAATTTTAGAAAAATAAAACATTGCATGTTCTAGTTATCTCATCAAAAGAAATTTTTTTTAATGAGTTCAAAATTCTGATGGAATTCTAAATGTCTCGCCCTTTGAGCAATCTACACCCTGACTTTCATCTGAATCAAAGAAAAATTCAGTAATATTTATACAAACAGGCTCAACACTACAAGAACTGACTTTTGCTTGTAAAGATTCAAATTCAGGAAATATGAAATAATATCTTTTTACTTTCAAAACAAACACGAAGACACTTCTCTTGTCACCATATCACAACATCTATTTCATGATAAAAACAGTCCATTTTCTTTCGAAAGAGTGAAATTTAGTCCGCAAGGTGATATAGTTATAGCCTTAATTTCCTCTCTTCAGTTTTGAAAGATACTTGCTAAATGCTCTAGTACAAGCAACCAGCCTCAAATGTAGCTCGGGTGCAACCTGCAATAAGGACAATTTGGGCTCTATATCTTATGTAACAGGCTACACATAAAGTAGTGACAGACTTGTTCATCTTAGCCACCCATCTTGAATGTATGATGATAACGATGATTCTTACCAACTGACGTCTTCTTCTTAACACTCGTCCAACTTCAGTCCGCATGTAGAGGAGCATATATCTGGTCCAACCAAAACCAATTCTGTTTCTGACTCACCTTTCTACAATTTGCACTCCAAGAGTCTTCCTTCATCTAGTGGTGGATGTGTAAAAGCTGAAAACAAACAATTTTTATTTCAGAGAAAGACTCAAAACAGGTAGCAGAAACTAATACCATTCACATGTCTCGACATATAGGGCCCCGCATCTTCAGATCTGCATCACATCGTCCGTGCATAGTCCGTGCATAGTCCGTGCTGGACCTCCTCGCGTTATCCTGACTGTGGCCCACATTATGTTCCCAGGAGGCCAGTCCCAGGTATTATTTAAAACATTCATTATTCATTCGATGGTTGTTCTCGACACACAGATTTGGAACTTACTCTACTTGAGACCTTTGATTCAATACACGTGCAGTGTTGCTCGTTTGAGCCCTTGCAAGTGATTTGATCTCTTTTGTACGGTGCTGTATTTTATGTTTCATTCGTCCATGATCACTACAGGCAAGTAAGCGACTGCAGCAAGGCAGCAGCGCAGTAAAATTGTGACATTGAGAGTGTCGAAAACTCGTGAAGCGGCTTACGACATTCATGCACGAGCACCTGAGGGAGTCACGAGTATCATACCTGACTCCAGCATACATCCAGAAGGAATATCCCCTCGTTGTCCGCTTGTCGTGCGAGAATTTAGCAGCGTACAGGTCTTCATGAGCCCCAAACGGGTTGCTTTGAGTTAACTCGAAGCAAGTCGGTTGTCAACTCTTAGACAGCGTTGACCTGTCGATGCAATGTCGTTGGAGATATAAAGCTACACTTGGGATTCTTTCCATCAGGTGCTCCCGGGTGTTTTCACCGTTGCACAGAGACAGCAGCTGAGGAAGACATGGCGGCCCTTGATGGCTTCATGCTTGTGGCAGTAGTGGCCATCGTCCTAACAACAAAAGCATTGGGGCAACCCGAGCTCGAGCTCGACCATATTGTAGTGTCTCCCAACGTCCCGGGAGAGCCCGAGAGGGGAAATTGCGTTTTGCCCGGAAAGTGCTACGGGAAGAACCTCAGGTGTCCGAAAGACTGCCCCTCTCGAAGAACCGAAGCGCCTGGCAAATCTGCCTGCTTCATGGACTGCTACAAAAACTGCGAAGCCACCTGCAAACGTAAATTTCTCTCCTCCACCAGCTCAATACATATTCCATGCCGCAGTCACATTCGTCTATTCAGATCACACTAGCTTCGACCATCAGCTTCCTGTACATGTGCCGAGAATGTTCGTCTAAACCCTTTGATTTGATGAGGTTGAATGATGTCCGAATAAAATTTGGCAAAAGTTCATCACAAGACGAGAGAAGCCTTAGGTTCGCCTTAGAGTTACCCACAAAAGTGATGGATCGTTTGGAATCTTCATTGTGACTGAGAAGGACTGACAGGTCGTAAGTAATTCGAGCTCAATACTCTCAGCTAAGTTTGCAGTGTTTGTGTGTGACTTTTGTGCGTGTAGATCGCAAGGCGAATTGTTACGGATACGGTGCAGTGTGCTATGATCCACGATTCATCGGAGGGGATGGAGTGATGTTTTATTTCCATGGACAGAAGGACCAACATTACTGCATAGTCTCAGACCGAAGACTGCACATCAACGCTCACTTCATCGGCAAGAGGCCCCTGGGTAGGCCCCGGGACTATACATGGGTGCAAAGCCTGGGATTCATGTTCGAGAATCACAGATTCGGTGTCGGTGCTCGGAAAGCGGCTGTGTGGGATGACAACGTGGACCATCTGGAGCTCACTTACGACAACACCTCCATAGATTTGATCGACCATGAGGGTGCCCTCTGGGTGTCTCCTTCAGGCGACGTGGTCGTGGAACGCATCGGCCGAACCAACAGCATTCTCGTCATGATAGACCAGCTCATGGAGGTGATCCTCGAAGCTGTGCCCATCGAGGACTACGAGAGTCGCATACACAACTACGAAATCACAGAAGACGACTGCTTTGCCCACTTACAGATGCAGTTCACATTCTACTCACTCTCCTCGTCCGTGCACGGAGTTCTGGGCCAGACTTACCAGCCAGGATTTCAAACCCCGGTGAATCAGAACGTCCCCATTCATGTCATGGGCCGAGAGCAGGCGTACTTGAGTTCGTCGCTCTTCCTTTCAGACTGTCGAGTGAGCCAGTTCTTGGGTGGTGCACCCCTGGACTCCACCGATCCCGACCCCGTTCAGCCCGAGGTGGAACCGTGGGAGCTCTTTCAGATCAAATGTCAGAGCTCTGGAGATGGCGGCGTCCAGTGCCGCCGGAGACGGTGAACAAAATCGCATGCTCTTTCATCGATCTGTACCTTGCTAGCTGGTTGTCATCATCCGAGGAATGAATGACTCTCTTGCAACCTTAGACAGGAATGGCTAGAACCATATATGGAGGCCATCAGTCGAGCAACACTCGACGTAAATTCCTGTATTTTACGCACCAACAAAATTCATCCACTCTTTGGATATTCCTTCTCGCGATCGCTTACCTATCCCCCTCGAATCTTCTTCCCGACAAAATGAAGAACTTGCTCGAAGCTCCATCCTCTTGGGCTCGTTTCCTCAATCTCGTGGACGAGCTGGTGGCGGACGGCCACGGACCTGCGTGCCCAGAAATTGAGGAGATGAACCTTACTTTCGTTGGATGGCAGCCAACTCTATGGGTTAGTCAATCTGCTTGGATCGTGGACGACATATGTGCTCGGAATAACAGACAGATCGACAGAAATCTGGGCGAGAATTCGCCAGTGGCATCACATAAAGGAGGAGGGACATGGCCGACACGAAGAAGTATTGGTCACGGAGTGAATCATAGTCTGTGTGATCAGGAGGATCCTTAAGTCCAGTCTGACGTGGATCGACTGACTTGTCCAACTGCTGAGATGGACTGAGATCTGAGTCTCATGGAAGTCTCAGCAGCTGGTTCGATCGTAAATGTCTTAAAAGCTTAGCTTGTAACATGCAACTTTTCAGTGAATCAGTCAGTCGCATTGGATGGGATCCCCTTTCTTTTCAATCATGGCATGTAAAGGTACCTGATAAGGATTTGAATTCTTACACATGTAAAAGACAACAGAACAATATACATCACGTTCTAAACGAAATACTGTACTAGAAATGATTTTATTATCAAGAAGAATATTAACAAGGGTGATTGGCGTTGGAAGTTTGATTTGATAAGAGATGATTTTATGATTGTTAAAGAATGGGGATGATACTTATTATTTTTAAAGCTGAAATTCACTTATTTTTCATGGATGGCCAAACACTCTGACAAATCATAATCAAATACAGATATCAAAATATACAATCAACTCTAATATCAAAGACTGAAATGGAACAATTTGAGTTGCATCAAGTATTGAAATAAGGTATCTCCATGCATGCATCTTCAATAGCGATGATTACTTTTTTATCAAAAAATTGATGTGATTGGGACGGTATTTTTCAATGATGATTGAATGGATTTAAAACTTATTACAATACTGTGCATTACTTTACTTTAGAATTATCTGTAAATTTTATGATACTTCAGTATCATAAAATTTTACTTTACAATTGAATTCTTTCGAAGTTGTGGATATTTCAAGACAATGATATTTTGATATTATATTTTCTATTGAATGCAAATAAAAATTGAAAAAAAACATATATAGTTTGAGATTTGTACCTTTCTTAATGGTTTTTGAAATAATTGAAATTCAGTCGAAAACTTTTGTTAAAGATAATTTTGCATTCATCTGCTTTGAAAGAATACTTAATGCACCGCAAATCACATTTTCAATTGTTATTGATATGTTACTCAAAATTTACTTCAACATTGTTGGCCTTATTTGCAATTAACCATTAATAAATTCGTAATGACTTGACCTAATTTTTAAAAGGGGACGACTCGGGCCACACCCGTTTTTACTAGGGCCACACCCGCTACATACAAACAATTGAGTCTGGTGCGGACTTAACTCCTCTCAACCTCCGTAAGTCAGTTCGTTTCTCTCTTCCTACCATCCTGCCTTTGGTTTCCATCTCCCACGCAGGAAGCTCAAGCCAAAGTTGAAGAAGCCTAATCAACCCCGCTTGTTTAGGGTTCGCGTCTGCTCGTTTATCCTCACTTTCTTCCTCCTCCTGGCGTGGCCTCTGGTCTGCTGCGAGCAGGGTTTTGGCTACGGACACACCCGCTACATACAAACAACTGATTGCGCGTCAAAGCAAGACTCACCTCAAACCCAGCTACTAAGCCGAGCTCGTCCACGAGGCAGAGGAGAGCGTAGTCGAGAGGCTTCGAGGGGCGCGGGGCCGCTGCGGCCGTCGCTGTCTCCCGCGTTGCTGCCGCTTGTACCGCTGCCGCCAGTGCTGCCATTCTATTGATCTATTTCAATTGCCATGCTGCTTCAACCCCCTTCGGCGGCTTTGATCGATGCAACTTACACGGGCGGGTGTGCCGAGCTCGTCCACGAGGCAGAGGAGAGCGTAGTCGAGAGGCTTCGAGGGGCGCGGGGCCGCTGCGGCCGTCGCTGTCTCCCGCGTTGCTGCCGCTTGTACCGCTGCCGCCAGTGCTGCCATTCTATTGATCTATTTCAATTGCCATGCTGCTTCAACCCCCTTCGGCGGCTTTGATCGATGCAACTTACACGGGCGGGTGTGCCGTAGCAAAAGCGGGTGTGGCCCTAGTAAAAACGGGTGTGCCCTAGTCGTCCACTTTTTAAAATAATACTGTTAATGACCGAAACAGAAACATTGGAAGAAAATTTATATCGAAATGCATACGGTAAGTATTGCACTGCCTCTTGGATGATATTTATCATTACGGAGTTAGTGTTGGGGAGCTTTCGGGGTTATGTTCTTCGCACTTCCTGAAAAATGTTGTTCATTTTGCTGTTACTTGTCATACAAGCATTCTCACATGGGGCAGCAGTTTCTTCACAGTGGTCAGATGCATCGCTACTTCATGCAGCTGGAAAGGGACTCTGCATCTTGTATATCACCAGGTGTTCTTAAGCCCAGCTTCTGCAGATCGAGAAAGTTGATGGAACTCGCTCCTTGAGTACATCCGTTTGGGCTTTGAATTCTGTCGAAATTTATAATAGGACCATGACGAGTGCAACAGAGCCTCATAATTTGATGATTATACATGATGGAATTGTGGGGAATTTGTCCAGTCTATCTTTCTCCAGTCTGATGATTATCTAGTCTATCTTTCTCCTCTTCGTTGAAAACAGACTTAGTTCATATCAGACGTGGACCTAGCCGTATGACGCTTTGAGCTGAGCTCTTTTCAGGCTCAAGTAATTCGTTTCACTGAGCCAAATCAGGCCTAGAAGGATGGCAGCTCCGAGGAATATAGCCGATACTACTCTCAAGCTTTCCAGGGCCCATCTTTGAAATCTGGCGACAGCAAGATCTTTTTTCCTCTGGACTTCCAGACCCTCTTTGTAAACACGTAGTTGCTCCTCGGAATATGCCATTTCCGCAACCTTGAGATCCGCCTCTGCTCTAAGTTTCTGCTCATAGTAGTACGATTCGGCAAGTACTTTCGCTTGCGTAGCTTTACTTCTGTATAATATTTCCATAGCTTTGGCGTCTGCTGCGGCTCTCTTTGCGCGTAGCTCTGCCTCCACAAGCTCAATCGCCTCTTTATCTTTTGACTTCAGGATCATGTCATTCAGACGAATCTTCACATGTATGAAAATGCAAGGTCAGTAACGTAATTATATACGTGTCATCAATTATACGGCACAAGCGAATTTTAGCTAAGCTGATCTTTTCAGTGAAGTCAGAAACAGAGCTCGTCTGAATTCGATAGATAACACACCTCAAACAGATTAATCGTTTCCTTACCTCTGCATCCTCGACTTCCCATCTGGCGTAAGCCTGTGCTACAGCTTCGGGAAGCTTGGGCTTCTGAACAACGACAGCAATTATTTCAACTGCAGCTGGATCTATACTGAGAAAGTAATTGATTCCGCTCTTCATTCCCCACGTTATCCAATCATGAATCTGCGAAGACGATTGAGAAACACATTGAGGTCAATAAATTCAGCCGAGAGGTGAGCAGCTTATTGTTTCTACATCCAATTTTTAGTATTATGCAGCTGATTTCGGACATCCTCAATCGCAGTTGTCAAATCGTGGATGTCGTGCCGGTTGCTGTGAAGTTACGCACCTTCTGCAAATCCTCCACGTACACTTGATGGAGAGTGCGTTCGCTGCAAAAGTGTTCAATCTCATTCCTTACATTGTCATGGATATAAACCTCCTCGTATTGCAAGCCGAAAGAACGAACCAGTTCGGGCACTCCTTCCTTAAGTAGACGAACTGTTATCTGAGAATTGAACAAATTTCAGCTATCCCATGAGAAATTTCGCTCGTGACCACAGAACAAAGTACAAACATTTATATGGAACAACCGGTTGATTAGCAACACAATCGTCAAGTACACGTGAAGAGCATGAAAGGATACAGACCTCGACTTTCTCAAAATATAAGTTGATGCCTCCAACTGTTGAACACGTAATGTTCTTGACCTGCAAAGCATCTCAACGAGGCTCTGTTATCTCGGTATATTTCATGGTCTAAACCAAAGAGAACAGTTCTTTCTTTGAAATTCACGCTCAGCTGGCTATACGCAAAACATGCATGTCCTGAAATCTAAGCGCCAAAATCTCGGTGCGCCGTACCTGGTGTACTCGACGGCTACTTTGAATCTGATCATATGTCGTGACGAATGGGAGCATAAAGTTTAGTCCTAGCATAACATGTACCACGAACGACAATCAGTCGAAGGTTGTGATCTGCATGTGAATTGCGATGCAATCGATAGAAGGTATCATGTTTGCCGGTTCAGAACCAGCAGTCTGATAATGTGCTCACCGGGTTCAGAAACAACATCAAGCACCTTTCCATTCCTTGTATATACACCAAAGTGGCCTTTCTCCACAGTGTGAGCTGCAAAATATGTGAGGGCTCCTACAATAAACTGTCACAAATCGAAAGCATCAGGTCGTCAATCAGCTTTGGTATGAACGAAAAGGAAGCATGAACAACAATTGAGCTTGAGACCAGTTGTGCAACATCCTATAGCAATATGAAGACAACAATAATAATCTGTAAGCACCTAGAATTGAAAATATTTTCAGAATTTTCCAGCTTATTAGAATGCTAAAGCTATCATCTGATCAAGGTCCAGCATATCTCATGGGGGTGGAAATCCTCACCGAGAATGCAGCGACTGCGCATATTATATAAGCCGAGATCGGAGACTCCCGATGATCGAGACCATGATCCACGTCTTCTTCGAATGGCAGCACCTGTTCGTCTTCTTCCCATCCTACGCTTTGAAACTCCATTCCGATGGGTTCAAATTCCATCGTAAGTCTTCGAGCTTCTAGAATCAGAAGAAATCAACAACCACGCACTGCATGCACTCCAGAATTGATGTGCACTCGCCCCCCACCCTGACTCTATCTGTAGGTCCGAAGGACTTCGAGAGTCATACATGAACAAACAATGCAGAGTCGAATGCAAGGGATGGATCGATCCGAGGAAGTACATTGTGCAAGTTTGATGGAATCGAGTCAATCGTCAAAACAGGTACCAAAGCGACAGATGTGAGTCAAAGTGTATGCCTTTAGATGTCATTGTCAAACGTGGTTTGTATTTGTCAGGGGAACCTTATCAGTTGAACCCTGCCATTTACAGTTATATTATTTCGTGCCTATCAAGACTTCGTACCCGAAGTACTCACGTCCTTGTCCCGCACAATCTGAGCTAACAAGAGTCCCGTGACCTTGACCGTATAACCATCGTCGAGCATCATACGGTGGTCCTGAGCCTTTGTTTTACTCGCTCCACGGTTCTGAGACGCGCCAAGTGGGGGCAGAATGTCCCTTTGGCGAGTGCTCGTCTGACCTTTGAGATAGCTTTGGGATCCAATGCCTCAGTGCCTGAACTCTTTTCTGTGGGGCCTCCTCCAACTTTTGTCAATCCCCACAGATTCCTTTCCACCGATCGTGGAGAATGCTGAGGATGAGCTCCATGACCTACCGGCGCTCGCCGTACGAGCGGGAGCGTGGTTGCTGCTAAAAGTAGCATCAGACGTACGCCGTTGAGGTTTTCTTTCACGTCGTAGGAAACTTAGAACCACATGGTTGTTCTGTTAGTCCTTTTGTCCACAAGTTTAAAGCAACATTTGAGTTCTAAGTCTAAAAAAAAAAAAAACGGTTTGTGGAGATTGTTCTGGTTATCTTTTGTCCGACTGGTCTCTTGGCAGTGATAGCAGGAATAGATGAAGAGTAATCTTGTTCTATAATAGAAGTAAAGTGACAAGTTTAAAGCATAATGGATAGGTAACACAATGAAGCTACACTAAGATGGGGATTTGCCCTAGTAGCATCACAAGGGAAATTTCAACGATGTAAATGGTATGGACAAGATGAACTGATGGTAGCAAGTGGTCTCGGTAGACTTCAATTCTCCATTATCATGATGATAGAAGTATCAAGAAAAAAATTGGAAAATATAATGGAATAGAAAATAGCTAAATTTTTAGAGCAAGGAGTTGTAAACTAATTAGAGTTAATGTAAAAATTAAAGTCTTTACTTGCAGATGTACAGTGTAAAGTTTCCAATTTGAATGTCTTGTATCTAGAGTAGACACTGTCGGGATGCAAAATCTAACATGTTTCTCACATGATTCACAATATGACAAAGTATGTTTGATTACACTATTCAACATAGATCTTGTTATTCTAACTTTGTGTACATTCATGAGTTATAAACTTCTTGAAGTATACCCCCCACTATGATATCTCATATCACTTTGAGATATATGTGTGTATAATCAAACATTCTTCAATGTTTTAAAAGTTAACTCTTGGGTTGTTTTCCATCTTCACCTTTTATTTCCAATTCAATCTTTATTTTGCATAGATCTTATGGCTTGAGCTAAAATTTTCACAATCTATGTTGAAAAATAAAAAGCTCAAAAAAGCTGATATCAAAAAATCCTCATATGTCTGAATGACTTCTATCTTTTTTTGAATGATTTATGTCTTTATATTTATCACTTGGATTTTTAGGATTTTTAAATTTTTAAAAAAAATATTGCTTGAGTCAAATAATTTATTTAAAATTTTCCAAATTCACATTTTCAAACTTTGGCAAAGAATTTAGTCTCTTGCACAATTCAAAGTATATCTTGTAAATGGTTTCTATGATCATTTGAGATTTTGCTAAACACTAAAATATTATCTAGAAAAAAAATAACAAAAATTTGTCTAGATAAAGACAAAATATAATATTTATCAATCCCATGAATTTAGCAGATGCATTTATGGGACTAAAATTAAACATACTCTACGATCCAAATTTGATTAAAGCCCATTCTCAGATCCAATTTGATGAAATATTTTGTTACTTGAAGTTGATCAAGATTATTGTTATAGTTTTCATTGGTAGCTGATTCAATTCACAATTATTAATGCATAAACTCATATTTTCATCATTCTTCTTCGAATACACCACTGAAACTCTGTAAGTTGACATTTGGTTAAATAAATCATTTTCTCAACATTTTTTTCACTTCAACTTTGCATTTTTGAAATCAAATTATAAGGAATTTTGCAATTTGATGTAATTTCAAGTATCATCCAAGTGATACTTGAAATCACGTGGATCCATGTAACTCTTTGGTGATAATTTTACAAATAGATTATTTGGAAATACAATTTTATACTCAAAATTTTTGTTGAAGCAATCTTTGTAAAGTTTGTATTTCAATCCAACTATATTTTCAATAAATTTTAAGAAACATACATCATATCTAGAAGGATGTAAATCATCACAAAAAAGGTTTAAATTCTTATTATAAATTTAATCTTTCTTCATAAGTTATCCAACAACAAGTTTTTTAATTCAATCTATATTATAGATTGTTATTTCATTTTGTTTCATGACATTCATAAAATAATATCATATTGAACTAAAAAACTCACTCTTCATTCATCTTGTTTCTTGAACCCTATGTATACATAACTCTCTACTCTTTTATACTGTTTTCATTGTTGTATGTTTTATGTTAGTTACTTTCAATTAACACGCTCAATTTTTTTATCTAACAAGTATACTCATTACTTACGTATATGTATAATTCATTATAATGCAATTATATTTTCATTTTTATTCTTTTACTTTAGTTTTAAGTCACTAAAATAAATTACAATAAACAAAACTGCAAATCAATCTCAAATTCATAGTTGAAATCAAATATGAATCTTTAAAATCACGTTAAGCAAACAATACACAAAAACTTGTTGTTTAAGTTCTTTTAATTAAGGTCTAGTTGTTTAGAGTGCATGAGATTAACAATCTAGTTTTGTGGTTAAAAAAAATTTAAATGCAAAATATTCTTTACTTAATTTACAGTGATCATAATAAATCTAAAGACAAAGCTAACATTTGTGATAACATTTCAATATATTTCAAACAGACAAGATTTTTAATTATTGACAACATCAACTATTAATTTGTTAATTCATAAATAGATTTTTTTTAAATAAAAAAATTGACAAATTTGACTTGGTGTAACCATCTTTAGCTACTTAGAACTACAATAGAGTTTATTCAAGATTGAATAGAGTAGATGATAATGAAATATATATCTCTTTAGGTATATTTGCCATGTTACAAATCCACTATGAATGGATTGGATGGTGGAGATGAAATTTTATCTCCTTCTACTTGTTGATTAGAACTATATAAGGGAGAGTAGAACCATTGTTGATATATCTCATGTTCAAATTTTATGTTTTCATCTTTGAGTTAACTTCTCTCTAAACCGTAGTGTAACAGTTGATGATTGAAAAATAAAAATTAGATTTTTTTTAAGATTTTTCTAACCTTTTCAAAAGAACTCCAAATTTAAACTAAAATGAACTCCTAAACTAGAATTTTACTTTCTAAAGTCTCCACTTTTTGAACAATGCAAAAATTTGACTCCACAAATCAAAAATGTAAATTATAGTTTCAAATGCTAATGTATTTTTTTCCATAATAGATTGCAAATTTGCATAATTATTACATAAATTGATTGCAACAAAAGAATTTTGAAAATATATGATCAATTTTTTTTGAATGAGGTTTTTTTCAAATAGCAAATAAATCAAAAAAATTAATATCTTTGTAATCAACGTGGTAAAAACAATTAGATCAAATGTTATGTTGTTTGAACATTTTCAATCGTCAGAGCTACAATGCAATGTTATGTTCAATGAACCAGCACAATTTTTATTGAAAACTGGAAATCCTTGATAAAGAATGTTCGTGTGGTGCAAATATAACAAAAAGTGTTAGGAAGATAATGATGAAACTCAATTGATTTTTGGTAGGTTTAGATTAAGTATTGATTGCAGAAACATCTAACTTTTAAATCAACACATAAATCACTTATATAGTGACCCAAAATTTTCTTCAACAATTATCAACTCTTCATGCCAACATAGCAAGAGAGTCACATGATTGATGATGTTTATCTATACGTGAGAAGAATAATTTGTTAATACATACAATATGAAGTAAAATTCAAAGATTTTTACAAAATAATATGACTACTATGAAGAGTAGCAACAAAACATTTGATACTATCAAATATGATAAATTTGAAGATTAGTTATTCTAATAAATGCAAATCAAAGACAGGTTGAATGCTACAAATTTGGCAAGATATTAAAGACGAAACGTTCCAATTTCAACCACAATAATTTAAAGTATCCCCAAAATGAGATTATGATTATTGTTGTATTACATATATAGCTTATTTTGAAGTAAATGGATGAACAAAAATTTTATCTATTATTGTTTGAATTTTTTAGAGAGTTTTCATCACAAATATTATTTTTTTAGGTTCCATGACTCTTTAAAGTTGATAAATTTCAACATTATAAATTCTATTAAAAAGCTTGCAACATAAAATTGAACTTATGCTTTTAAGTTACATACGTGAATCATCTCAACGTGAAATAACTCATGATATTCTAGACTTGATTACACAAGTAATATGCACTTCAAACTTCTTAGTAATTTGTTATCTTGCATAGTTAAAGTTGAATTAGAATTTTGTTGAAAAATATATGATGTTGAAATTCACATTTCAACGTTTGAAGACAGTATTGTAAAACATCATTATCAAAAGATGAGTGATTTATTATTTATGTATAATGTTTCAAGATTAATGTAGATTTCATTTTCAACATAAAGTTTAAGATCTTTATAAGTTTTCAAACTTGAAAAGTTCATATTAACACCTACTCTTTACACAAGATGAGATATTCATGTGATTATAATTGCAAAAAATAAACTTTTTTAGAAGAGTTTAAAAGTAATTAATAAAAAATTTTATTACTGATTAACTCATTATCATTTATTAATTGCAACATAATGTTATTTTTTTAAATATCAATCAATTCTTGATGGACATGGTGCATAGTATAATGATCAATCTATTTCATTGTATAAAATTTGGACCGAAAGTTTTAATATTGCAATTGATAAATCATTCTCTTTCTAATGTAATTGATGATTTGACATCGATTGAAATGAGTCATATATAGATAATTATTTATGATAATTTAAATATATCAAATTTTACTATATAAATGTTCAAGATGAATAAGTTCAAGTCCGATACTACATCAAAGAAGTGTTGTTTTGTTATATGCAAGTGATATGAAGAATAATATGATATTCTTGTAGCATGTAAGTTTAGTGTTAGAAGTGATGTTTTTTTATGAGTCTAGATTATTTTTAATCTTTTCATACTTACTA